CTATCTATCTATCTATCTATCTATCTATCTATCTATCTATCTATCTAATAGCTATCTATCATCTATCTATGTATGCATCTGTCTATCATCTATCACAAGGGTCTTCAAACGTGGCATGTTTAAGACTTGTGGGCTTTAACTCCCAGAATTCCTGAGCTGACATGACTGCAGGAGGAATTCTGGGAGTTGGAAGTCCACGAGTCTTAAAAGCGGTCAAAGTTTGAAGACCCCTGACGTAGGGTCTCCTGCTTGGGGTGAGGCTATTTCTCCCCCTCCCCCCCAACCTACCCTACAAGCCCCCCGCCCCTTCTTACTGGACTGCACGAGGCGCTGGGTTTTGGTGACCGTGCTGACGGCGGATCCATCTGCTGAGGTTCGGCTATGCTGGGAGGTGGTCTCGGTGGTGTGGGAGCCCCCCTTCGCTTTGGCCTCTTGCAGCCGCTCGTTCCGCTCCTTCTCTCGCTGGTCTGCAAAAAGGGGGGGAGTGGGGGGGGGGGAAATTGTTCAGCAAGTGGGGGGTATTTGGCATTTGGGGGGCTTCTGGGGGCCCCCAACTCCAAAGAGCGCCAGGCAGCCTTACTCCGTGGCCTGCTTGGCGTTGGGATGGGCTGGCAAGCTTTATTTGGGGGGGGATGGACAGTGGTTCCTTTCATCTCCAAGGGCAGGCAAAGAAAGAGGAGAGAGGGGCTCAAGAGACCCTTCCTCCTCCTCCTCCTCCTCCTCCCACTTGGCTAACTCAACTTTTTCTTTTTTAGCTTTGTTCACTTTAGTGTCATTCGCACCTTGTACAAGGAAATTAAAGGCCATCTTCAGTGCACATTGTGGCCATGAAAATAAACACACAAACACCCATCCTTCGCATTCTATGCCATTGAATTGAAAACCCCTGATATTGCATGAATATGGCACTATACAGTAGAACGCAACAGAGTTCCTGCCCTGGGATAGAAGCTGTTTTAGAAGCGAACCCATTTTGGTCAACGGGGAGGGTGAGGGCATTGGCCAGAAATGGGAAGTAAATGCCTCCCAAAACTCACAAAGAACTGCGCAAAATCGCAGTCACGAGGCTGCAGGGCGTGGCAAACAGCTGTATCAGTGCCAGCTGGCATGCCATGCCGTGCTAAGGGCCCAAACTACGATTCTGGGCCTGGGGGAGGGAAGGAGACGCCCATCAGAAGTTGTAAAGTGGGTCATAAGCAGCTCTGGGGCAGGGGTCTCCAACCTTGGCAGATTTAAGACTTGTGGACTTCAACTCCCAGAGTTCCTCAGCCAGAGTTGGAGTCCACAAGCCTTAAAGTGGCCAAGGTTGGAGACCCCTACTTTGGGGAATGTCTGTCGTAATTCTTGGACCAGCCGTTGAGCAAAAACAGCCGGTGTTTATCGTTCAAAAGCCAGGACAGGAAGTCCTCGACTTACAATGGTCCATTTAGGGACTGTTCAAAGTTACCTCGCTTCCGCTGGCGCAGATCCCGCATGGCTGCCCGGATCAGCCGTCGCTCCTCAAAGTCTCTGGTCTGGTCCAGCTGTGGAGACAAGAGGCGTAAAGCTTTTGGGTCAAAGCTCACTTAAGAAATATCTCTCGCTTAGCGACATAAGCTCAGTTCGTTTGGCACTTTAGTTGTTGGCGGCCATTCAAAGGAGAGAAAGGTGGGTGCTTATCTCGAGGGACTGTTTGGGACTCGTTACAGGCTGGGAATGCACATAATTCCCAGCGCTGAAATAAAAAGAGAGTTGTTTAGACTAAGCACGTGCTTAATTACGGTCTTAGGAAGCCTGGGTCAGAACAACTATCTGCAAACTGGAAGGACTCACCCAAGACAGCCATACCCCCACCCCACCCCTTAATTTCCTCTTCCAAATATCTCCCCGCACAAACCCTGATGCCTGCCAGTCTAACCAGCATGGGGGTGTAGGGAGTACAGATTTCCACAAGAGGAAAGGCAGGCTAGGCAGCTGCTACTGTTACCATCTTATCCAAGACGTCTTCTTCTTCAATTTTGCTCAGCTCCTCGGTGCTCAGACGATTCGGTTTTCGCTCTTCCTGCACCTTCTCCGTCCTGGTCAGCGGGGCCACCTTGGGCTGTGTGGGTAACTCGGCATCCACCTGAAAAGACAAGGACGGTACGGTGAGGCTGGACCGGCCGCTCAGCCTCCTGGAGGGACATCTGGGTGAAATAGGAACGGGACTTAAAAGAGTTATATGCCGCTTTGCAATGCGTTGCAGCTCTCTCCAAGCGGTTCACAGTCAGCCTCTTCCAGCCCCCAAACAATCTGGGTCTTCCCGTTTTGTGGGAGGATGGAAGGCTGAGTCGACCTTGAGCCGGTCAGGATCGAACTGCTGGCAGTCGGCAGAGTGAGCTTACAATACTGCATTCTAACCACTGGGAAGGGAGGGAGGAAGGGAGGGAGGGAGGGAGGGAGCACCTTTGGGGACAATCACAACCGGATTGACTGAGAATCTCCGTAGACTTTCAAGAAAGCCAAATCCACAAATTCCATCCTTGGCACAATCTTTGGGCGTTTTGGCAAGCAGCGTTGGATTTCCAGGAAACTCTGATACAATGCAAAGCACCCCGTGGTGGGTTTTTTTTCCCTCCAGGAAGATTGAAGGGCTTTAGTGGAAAGCTGGCTTTGTGAACGGGGCTCAGGGCAAGCTTGGCATCTCCAAGCAACAAATGTTTGTGCCAACTCCCCTGTTGGCAGAATCCCGGCAGGACGCAAGGCATGGCACCAGCCAGGTCGGAAAAACACCCACGAGGGCCATTGCAGACATGGAGACCCTCAGCCAAAGGTGCCAAGCAAAGAAGGCAGAATATCCTCCAACGCCTGGCATCGCTGTTTTCCACACCAGGCAGCATGAGGGCACAGCTTATTATAGGTCAGCATTCCCTGGCCAAAAAGACACCTCTTTGCGGGCTTCCAAAAAGTTATTCTCGGGTCTCCTTCAATCCATTCGGCAGAAGAAGAAAAAAAAACCCACAGCCAAGTTTACAATCTCTTTTGTTGTTTGATCATTTGGGTTCTCAAGAGCTGCTTCTTCCTTATTTCCTGAAAACCTGGGAGAAATATCCCACCCTCTTTTCCTTCCAAAAAGGCCAACCCACCTCTCCGCGTTTTTTCCAAAGGCTGCAAGATATATTCTCAAGTCTTTCTGCCAAAAAAAAACTAATGCACTCCTAAATTGCATTAACAGAGGGATACAATCGAGATCAATTGAGGTACTAATACCTACTCTATAAAGCCTTAGTAAGGCCACACCTAGAGTACTGCATCCAGTTTTTGGTCCCCACATTATAAAAAAGAGGTTGAGACTTTGGAAAAAGTGCAGAGAAGAGCAACCAGGATGATTATGGGGACTGGAGGCTAAAACCTGCAATGAACGGTTGCAGGAACTGGGCCTGGCTAGTCTAAGGAAGAGAAGGACCAGGGGAGACAGGATAGCAGGCTTCCAGTATTTGAGGGGCTGCCCCAGAGAGGAGGAAGGGGTCAAACTATTTTCTAAAGGCCAGACAAGGAATAGTGGATGGAAACTGATCCAGGAGAGATTCAACCTGGAAATAAGGAGAAACTGATAGTGAGAACAATCAACCCATGGAACAGAAGTTGCCTTCGGAAGTTGTGGGAGCTTCATCCCTGGAGGCTTTCAAGAAGAGATTAGACTGCCATTTGACCTGCTTGGGTTGGGGGTTGGACTAGATGACCTACAAGGTCCCTTCCCCAATTCTGCATTTCCACGGTCCGACTCCTGCGCTTCACCTCTCCAGCCACCCGCGTGTTGGACCACAACAGACCTAATGCTGGCCGAGGATCAGGATTCCAGATCCCACCTATCTTCGGGGATGTCCCGCATTAGGGAAGACCGTGCTTACTAGCTGGGGGAAAAAGCAGGCAGGCTCCGATTCACGGAATGGGAGGAGGGGTAGAAACCGAAGGGCTGGTCAGGGTCAGCAACGGGGGTGGGGAGGGGGTGTCATAAACCCTAAATGGGAATTAAAAGGCACCCAAGACCAAAGCGGAGGGGGGGGGCCTGCCGGAGCAGAGCAAAGCCGAAATTCTGGGGTGGGTCAGGTGTCCGGAGGCCCTCATCCCACTCGCTCCTCCGCTGGCCGGAGGGATGGGAAGGCAGGCCAGGCCAAGAGCCCATGGCAGCAACTCTTTCCAAGAGCTGGTGAAAAGAGAGAGACTGGACAGCCGAGCCTGGGAGGTTGGACTAGATGACCTCCAAGGTCCCTTCTGACTCTGTTATTCTGGCATCCCAGGTCAACCATTCAGTGGAAGGGAGGCTTTTAAGGAGAGACTGGACGGCCATTTGTCTGGAATGGGAGAGGGGCCTCGTGTCTGAGCCCGGGGGCTGGAATAGATGACCTCCAGG